AATACAATGAGCTTTACACTACCAATGTCGATTTACATATTTACTGTTGTTTGTATTTAAAACTAGAGTAAGCCGCCAGGGGGCGGATAATCTCCCGAACCCCCACAAAGACTTGTATTGTGAGAACCACAAATCTGTGACTATCGGGCTTTGAGAATACTGTGTGGTCACCAGCTAGTTTACATTTCCTACTTTGTTTTTTTTTTTGTGTGTCTTTGTGGGAATATTCGTTATTTCATCTCTATCAACAGTATTACATAAAATATTAACTGCGAGCCTTCTAAATGATAAAAACGTTATTAAATTAATTTTAGTATTCCTTTAAGTAGCTTGCGTCCGAAAGTGCAATTAATATAAATGCTTGCATAACTACGCATGATTTAATGGAGTTTAAAAAGCTTCACACGCACGCAACCGCGTTACTCTTTTAATTATATAGATTTAAAACTTGCATGGATTGTTTTGAAAGTTTCATTGGGGCCATATCTAGTTTCTATTTGAATATTGGTACAATATAATTCAATTTCGCTCAGTACACAAACATACAGAAAAACTTAATTGATACTTTCTTTCGTTTCTTGCTCTGGGCTTTTGTGGAAGTAACTAGTGCTGGAAGCTACGACAAAAATATGAAATTAGGAGTAGAGAAGTATGGACGACGTCACCATATACGTAAGGAAGGGGTGGGTATAGATAGGACTATGTATTGCAAAGGGAAAGGTATTTGGGGAATGGACCTGTCAACCCTCAGGCTTATCTCAGACAGCAGTGTTTATGTGTTAAGGTTTTGTGTGTGAATTTCTTCGTTTGTTTACAGACAGTTAGAGTACTGATACCATCACCCTGTTCAGTTTTAATACTTGACCACGATACCCAGGTTTGGAATGCGTTGCTGGATCTGGTTTAACCTCGCAGTCATTGAAACCCCCCGCACGGCCATCAGATTCGTTCAGTCTAGGCAGGTCACTTAACTGTTTTAATTACTTTAATTTTAAATACACAGCACTGCCTTTACACTTTAAATACTTTGTGCATGCAAATGCAAAATACCACAACGAAAAAAAAATGTTCCGTATGTGAAACACGATTTTTTCACCTAGGTTCGTTATTTTATTCTGTATAATAACGCTTATGTATGACATCATTATTTCTTAATGTCAGTGTGTATTTGTTTTCTGTCTACTCTTACTTTACTTGAGATCATGTTTTATATAAGGTTGCTGACTTTTAAGACTTTTGAAAAGGTAGAATTTCAGCGCGCGATAAAGTTCTTCAAGCACCAAAGGCTAAGGCCTTGGAGGTGGGGTGGGGGATCAGGGGACATGCTTCCCCATAAATATTTTTATTCAACTTAGCTAAATGGATCAATATGACGTTGAATTGCACCTCGATCCAGCTGGTTAAACAACCACACTGTTTTTTATAGAAAGCTGCTAATCTGACTAAAACGTGCGATTTTTTATTAATGTGCCTAACTCTAAGAATAGGCCCAGATGCGTAAGTCTCGCGCTCAATGGGTGAGTGTTGGTAGGTCTGTTTTTTTATAAACATTAATGACAGGCCCGGTGCAGCTCCTTTCTCTACGGGGGGAGGGGAGAAATAGAACATTTGTAAGGTGACCATATAGTGATATTGATTTATAAGAAAGGTAATATAACAAACACGCTTGTTCCGTCCAATTTGATTTTTTTAGCGATATACAAAAAATCATACGAATTTCTAAAATTGATAATATGAATTTTTAAACCACCAGATAGAATGATCTTGGGTGTGTGCATGTCCACCCCATCACCCTCTAACGTCGGCCTTGTTTAGTGGATTGAAAGCAAATCAGTTAATTTCTACATAAAGTTCAGAATGCACACAAGCAAGTGTATGATAATTCGGTTATCCATAGTCAGTGTTTAGGGTTAGAACAAATTATGTGCTGTGCATTTAAATAAACTTTTCAGGAGTTATGTATTTCTGGTGTGATGAAATTCGTTTTAAATATTTCTTTATCTACGTCCATTAAAGATATTATATAGAAAATTTGCTTTATTTTTCCAAAGTCATAAAGACGAACACTTCTACATTAGACCCTTCGACATATAACAACGCGAAGACACGAGAATACGAAAAATGTTACAATAGTTGCCACATCTATATAGTATTTGAGGGTTTAAATATGTTTTATCTGAAAACAAATAACAAATTAACACGTCATCCATTGCATAGTTGTACATTCTGAACCTGGTAGAGGTGGTCGTTTTTTTTCGTTCTTGACGTCGATTTCAGGAATGCTGAGAGCAGCTAACGACTTAAAACTAGCATCACGAGACATATCGGGCGAATTTTTCTTTGATGTCTGAAGGTCATTTAATAAGTCACAATCTGATGGTTGAGTCTGAGTGTCGGTGATAATGGGTGAACATTGGTTAAGATCTCTAATCACGGGTGGACATTCAGCAGTGTCGATTGAGATGGCAATGGCTGGATGGATGTCCTCTATCTGAAGTGTGTGTACTTTCATTACCAAAGTGTCTTGGAAATCTCTGTAAGATTCTTGCTTTTGATCGTTTCCATCGTATTTTGGTAATACCCTATAATCCTGAAGAGTTGCTTTTACTTCTATTGACTTTAAACATTTTTTTGAACAATTTTCTTCGAAACATGCTCGCTTCTGTTCAAGAGATGATGGTTGTTTCTCGGATCTCGCACCATGGTGAGAAGGGACATTTTGAACGTTCTGATGGAGGGAATAGCCACCAATTTTCAGCGTTTGAGGTTTTTCCTTCAGTGACGACTTTGTTATCTTTGATGTTAAGGTTGGTATAAGGTCGGTATTCTTCCTGGTTCGTGTTGCTCGTCAAGAAAGTGTTCTCTGAATTGTTGAAATCACATATTAGGCTTTGTGCTGAGGCTTTCATTTTAAACCTCATTGCTCTCGAGGAAGGATGCACGTCCGGCTGGTAATGTCGTTGAGAACGTGGATGGTCTGTGGAATATCTCTGGATTACTGGAATACGACTGGGTGAGAGCCTCATCTGATTTCCAGTAATTCGAAGCTGGAGGTCTATCGTTGCTTGTTTTTTATAATAATGAGAACTCGGGTCCTGAAATAAAGCCAAACTTGAAACGAGATGTAGAATAGGAATTTAGTTACTTTTGTTAAACAATCGAAAGCTATACGAACTTGAAATGAATATGGTTGTAGTTCAATCTATTTATTAGTTGTAGTTTACGTGCTGAAATGTATTAATTGAACTCTTATTCACAGTTAAAGTTAAATTGGAATTTTTAGTTGAACAAATTCACGTTTTACACAAAAACTAGTTTTTTTATTATTTTCAGAATTTACGTATTTATTTCAGTTACAATAATTGCAGTCAGAGGTGAAATTCTCAAACAAAAAATAGAAGTACTCAGCTGGGTGAAGTGGACCCGTTTTTGAAAAATACATGAGCGTATTTTCATTTTATAGTTTTTTATAAAATAAGGATCCTAAAATTTAAGAGCGCTACTAGTCTTTACAGAACTATATTAAAATAGTACCCCCTTCTCCCCATTGAGTATGAATTTCAGAAAATAATTGTCTTGTAACTCGGGGGAATCGTGGTTTGGGGAAGATTGGGAAACCTTGCATTACAACTATGAATACACTTACATTTTTTGGCTTTCAATCTAGGAATTATTTGTTCATTATTCGGCTGCTAATGTTTTTACAAGTGAAAGTAAAGAATGTTAACCACACTATATCTGCCAGATATAATAGTTTCTATTTTATTTTAGAATTTTGGTAACATTTAAACTCAAACTTCAAATTTTATAGACCATTTTTTTTTCAGATGATGATCGTTTTTGAACAGGCTCTGTCAAAACTTCAGAGATATGTGTATACACACATATATATATATAATTAAGATAATTCATTCCATTTTTAATTACTCTAGCGTAAAACATTGTCGTATGTTTAGGTTAAGTAAAATAAGGGAACAAAATTTTACTGATAATAATGATAGTTGAGATTGAACTAGTTATCAAGCGAATCTGTAGGTTAAAATAACGGTATATATATATATATATATATATAAGTAAAATACCAGCAAATATAAAGATTTTTTGAAACCGAGACACGAACCCTTCATTTTTGTGAGTACCCAATGGTTCAGTGGTACGTCTGAAGACTTCTAACGCTAAAAGCCGGGTTTGGATACAGAACAGAAAGCCCATTGTGTAGCTTTATACTTAATAACAGACATGAAGACAAACATGCTCGTAAACAGTGTAAATTATGTTAATATTAAAGTATTTTAAACTTACTTTGCTTTAATGTAGGTTTTGACAAACAGAGAACTTTATAGATGTTATTAGTTTATTTTAGAGCAAAGCTATACAATGGAGTATCTGCACTCTGTCTATCACGGAGAATCGAGCCCCAAATTTTAGCGCTGGAAGTACGATTTCATTAAAGAACTGTTACAGTAAAATGAGGATAATTTTATGTATGTCTATTCGTTTACGATTTATATTTTGTTAATACTTCATTATTTTCTCAGAAAAAAGTGTCTTCTTCTACTTACTTTCCAAGACATCGTCGGTAACGATGGTCGACTTAGGTGCACATTGGAGTCAGGTCAGAATACACGCTCCAGGGAAACCAAACTGGAGTACTATAACCGGAATAGGCAGTCTGACGTTGGTTTCATCGAGGACAGATCCGTGCTAATGCTTTTAAGTTAAAAATATTGAGCTGGCACAATATGGTGACTGAACACGCAAGAAAGACGCTGTTGTTCTTTTTTTAATACCGACTTATGACGTCACATTGACGTCAGTAGTAATTACAGAATCGCCAGTTCAGACTTAAATAACACTTTCTATTGAACAGATGACAATATCCTATAAAACTACTAGGTATTAGAAATTATTAAATTTTTATACCCATAATATGAGTCATATATTCAAGCTAGCGAGTGTACTTGCTCATTTTATCAGAATGTTATAACACTAACTTGTACAACATTATATATTGTTAATTTCTTGTCTTGTTAATTTATATAAAAGTTTCCAGAAGAACTTGAGTCATTTTATATGTGTATGATATGGTGGTTACTTTTTTTCAATTTCTGTGAATGTATCAACGATAGGCCTGGCATAGCCTGGTGGTTAGGTCTCTGGACTTGTAATCAGTGGGTCTCGAGTTCAAGTTCCATCACCGCACATGCTCGTCCTTAAAACCGTGGGTGCATTACAACGTGATGACCAATCCCACTTTTTGTTGGTAAAAGAGTAGTCCAAGAGTTGGCGGTGGATGATGTTGAACTAGCTGCCTTCCCTCTAATGCAGGGGTCACCAAACTACGGCCCGCGAGGTCAGTTCATCCGGCCCACCGCTGCACTGTGCCACAAATGAGCTAAAATATAATTATTTATATGGAAATATCATAGGTTGTAGATAAACTTATTATGTAAAAAAAAATAAAATAAGTGTAAATAAAAATGTCCAAATTTGTCCAATCGGATTTTTGCATCTGACAGTAATATAAGTTTTAGGAAAATCAGTGAAATAAAAAATTCGGCAACTTTTTCGACTTTGGATATCAGAGCGCTTTTTGTGTAAGTACCTGCAATGAGAGTTCATTCCTGCAGTCGCCTCTGATAACTTAACTTCCAAGTATTTATTTCTTAATTTTTTCTCCATCTATTTAGAGATAACTGAACTTCCAAGTATTTTCCTTAATTTTTCCTAACATAGATATCACAGCTGAAAGTAAACATAATCTATTTTTGGATTAATTTGGAGGCCAGCGAAGCTGGAACGGTTCCTCCTGGATAGTACAAGTACAACGATAGGGGAGATTTCCAGAACCCACGCTTTCCAACTTCACCTCGGGTTACTGTATGTGCATATAATCATAACCCCATGCCGGGGTCAGAGGATTAATGAGGAGGACATCATATGGATCCCAGGCCATGAAATATGATACTACTTTGAGATTTATTGCAACAATTAACAGTACAAAAGAACAATAACTAAATTTACAGCAATTGCACACAAGATGTAATGCACGACATGTACAGAATAACGATAAGTTCACAAATTATGATACAATATGTACAGAGTAATACAATATAAATTACAAATCAAAAACAGAAGCTTAATCCTCTCACTGCCAATGGTAAGGAAGAACTACAGGCGCTGCTGCTTCATCCCCGCATCCGGCAATGAGAGAGTTAAAGCATGTTTGAGTGTAGCTGCGTCGATACAGTCCATCTGGGAAACTGAAGACGACTTGGCAACCACAAGGGAAGACCGGGACACTGCACAAAGTTTGGAATGGAGAGGAGGCACTGCTACAGGGATATGACGTTTCCGGATCCCAAGGGAGGAAGTAGAAACAGCTAATGGGGAGTGAGACGAGGAATCCTCAGTACACTCAGAGACATCAGGACTGGACAAGACTTTAGACGAGATGGAAGGTGAGGGGGCTGTTGATGAG